GTTAATTTTCTGTCTGGTTGATCTGTCTAATGTTGACAATGGGGTGTTAAAGTCTCCCACTATTATTGTGTGGGAGTCTAAGTCTCTTTGTAAGTCATTAAGAACTTGCCTTATGTATCTGGGTGCTCCTGTATTGGGTGCATATATATTTAGGATCGTTAGCTCTTCTTGTTGCATTGATCCTTTTACCATTATGTAATGTCTCTCTTTGTCTCTTATGATCTTTGTTGCTTTAAAGTCCAATTTATCAGAGATGAGAATTGCAACTCCTGCTTTTTTTTGCTCTCCATTTGCTTGGTAAATCTTCCTCCATCCCTTTATTTTGAGCCTTTGTGTATCTTTGCATGTGAGATGGGTTTCCTGGATACAGCACACTGATGGGTTTTGGCTTTTTATCCAATTTGCCAGTCTGTGTCTTTTGATTGGGGCATTTAGTCCATTTACATTTAGGGTTAATATTGTTATGTGTGAATTTGATACTGCCATTTTGGTGCTAGCTGGCTGTTTTGCCCTTTAGTTGAGCTGGTACTTGTTGTTCCTTTATATGTGTAGAGCCTCTTTCAGGAGCTCTTGTAGAGCTGGCCTGGTGGTGACGAAGTCTCTGAGTACTTGCATGTTCCCAAAGGATTTTATTTTTCCTTCACTTATGAAGCTTAGTTTGGCTGGATAGGAGATTCTGGGTTGAAAGTTCTTTTCTTTAAGGATGTTGAATATTGGCCCCCATTCTCTTCTGGCTTGTAGGGTTTCTGCTGAGAGATCTGCTGTGAGTCTGATGGGCTTCCCTTTATGGGTAACCTGACCTTTCTCTCTGGCTGCCCTTAGTATTTTCTCCTTCATTTCGACCCTGGTGAATCTGACGATTATGTGCCTTGGGGTTGCTCTTCTTGATGAATATCTTTGTGGTGTTCTCTGTATTTCCTGGACTTGAATGTTTGCCTGCCTTGCTAGGTTGGGGAAGTTTTCCTGGATAATATCCTGAAGAGTATTTTCCAGCTTGGATTCATTCTCTTCGTCGCATTCGGGTACACCTATCAAACGTAGATTAGGTCTTTTCACACAGTCCCACATTTCTTGGAGACTTTGTTCATTCCTTTTTACCCTTTTTTCTCCAGTCTTGCCTTCCCGTTTTATTTCATTGAGTTGATCTTCGACCTCTGATATCCTTTCTTCTGCTTGGTCCATTCGGCTGTTGATACTTGTGCATGCTTCACGAAGTTCTCGTGTTGCGTTTTTCAGCTCCATCAATTCACTTATATTCCTTTCTATTTTGTCCATTCTTGTTAGCATTTCGTCCAATCTTTTTTCAAGGTTCTTAGTTTCTTGGCATTTGGTTAGAACATGTTCTTTAAGTTCACAGAAGTTTCTTACTACCCACCTTCTGAAGTCTGATTCTGTCATTTCATCACACTCGTTCTCCCTCCAATTTTGTTCCCTTGCTGGTGAGGAGTTGTGATCCGTTTTAGGAGGAGAGGTGTTCTGGTTTCGGGTGTTTTCATCCTTGTTTCGCCGGTTTCTTCCCATCTTTAAGGATTTATCCACCTGTCAACTTTGTGGTTGTTGGCTTTCAGATTGGGTCTCAAATCTTTCAGATTGACGTTCTGTTTGTTGATGATGAGGTTATTTCTGTTTCTTGGTTTCCTTCTGACAGTCTGGCCCCTCTGCTGTAGGTCTGCTGAGGTTCACTCCAGGCCCTGCTTGCCTGGGGGTCACCTTCAGCAGCTGCTGAACAGCAAGGGTTGTTACCAGTTTTCTTCTTCTGCTATCTTTGTCCCAGAAGGATACCCGCCTAGTGTCAATCTGATCTCTCTTTTATGAGGTGTCTTTTTGGATATATAGGTGTCAGGGAGCTGCTTGAGGAGACGGTCTCTTCTTTATAGGAGCTCAAACGGTGAGCTGCGAGCTCTGTTGTTATTCATTCAGAGCTGCTGGGCAGGTACTTTTAGGTCTGCTGTAGCAGTACTCATAAACTGCTTTTTGTTCCCAGGTGCTCTGTCCCAGGGATTTAGGGCTTTATTTATGAGTTTCCGTTATGCTGCCACCTTCTTTTTTTTTTTCCCCCTTCAGACCTGCCCAGCCTAGCAAGGAGGCAGCCTAGTCACTTTCGGCCTATAGCAGCTTTGCTGAGCTGCTGTGTGCTCCGCCCTGCTGCCGAGTGAACTTCCCTGCAGTCCTGTTTATATGGGTGTAGTTAGAACTGCTTTGGGGATGGTGGCCCGCCTCTGTTGGGGCGGAGTCTCTGCTGTGGCAGGTTGCCTTGGCAACGGCGGGCTACCTCAGCAATGGCGGGTTGCCTTGGCAATGGCAGGCTGCCTCGGTAATGGCGGACGCCCCTCCCCCACAGAGCTGGACTGTCCCGGGTTCAGCTGCGCTTGCTGTGAAACTCTCAATCCAGAGTTTCTGGTTGCTGTTCTTTTGTGGGGGTGGGGCCAGCCGAGCCTGATCGCCTGTCTCCCTGCCTCAGAGCCTTTTTTAAGTTGGTGTTCCAGTCGCCTGTTGAAGAGGCGCCGGGGTCTGTTTGTTTTCCCCTGCGGCCACTCACTGCGCTGGTTTAAACAGCGGCACTGAGGTTTGTGGCGCTTTTTTTTGTTTTTTTGCCCTGGAATCTACTGTCCTGGTTCTCTGCTCAGTCCCCTTTTTGAACCGGCGTACGGGAGACTTCCCGTGGCTCCAATCGCCAGCCAAAAGGGCACCCGGACCGGTGTATTTTGTACGGAGAAGCGCGGCTCCGGGGCGCCGACAAAGCAGCCGCGCGGGGCAAAGCAGCGGCACTGGCCGGCACAGCCGCGCTGGCCGAAACAGCCGCGCTGGCGACCATGGAGCACCTCTTCCCGGGAATTTCCTAGTCTGTGGGCAATAAAAATGCGGCGTCCACTCACCCTTTGCACTTTCACTGGGAGCTGCAATCCTGAGCTGTTCCTAAACGGCCATCTTGGATCGTCGCTCTGGTCTATATATCTTTTTTGGTACCAGCACCATACTGTTTTGGTTACTGTAACCTTGTAGTATAAAGTCAGGTAGCAGATGCCTCCAGCTTTGCTTTTTTTTTTTTTTTTGCTTAGGACTGCCTTGGCTATATGAGCTCCTTTTTGGTTCCATATAAAATTTAAGGTAGTTTTTTGTACTTCTGTGAAGAAAGTCAATGGTAGCTTGATGGGGATATCATTGAAACTATACATTACTTGGGGCAGTACAGCTGTTTTCACGATATTGATTCTCCCTATCCATGAGCATGGAATGTTTTTCCATCTGTTTGTGTCCTCTCTTATTTCCTTGAACAGTGGTTTGTAGTTCTCCTTGAAGAGGCCCTTCAAATACCTTCCAAGTTTTGTTCCTAGACATTTTATTCTGTTTGTAGCAATTGTGAATATGAGTTCACTCATGATTTGGCTCTCTGTTTGTCTGTTATTGGAGTATAGGAATGCTTGTGAGTTTTGCACATTGATTTTTTTATCCTGAGACTTTGCCAAAGTTCCTTATTAGTTAAGGAAATTTTGGGCTGAGAGACGATGGGGTTTTTTAAATAGACAATCATGTCATCTACAAAAAGAGACAATTGGCCTTCCTCTCTTCCTATTTGAATATCCTTTATTTCTTTGTCTTGCCTGATTGACCTGGTGAGAATATCCAATACTATGTTGAATAGGAGTGGTGAGAGAGGGCATCCTTATCTTGTGCTGGTTTTCATAGGGAATGCTTCCAGCCTTTGCCCATTTGGTATGATATTGGCTGTGGGCTTGTCATAAACAGGTCTTATTATTTTGAGATATATTTCATTGATACCTAGTTTATTGAGAGTTTTTAGCATGAAGGGGTATTTAATTTTGTTGAAGGTCCTTTCTGCATCTATTGAGATAATCATGTGGTTTTTGTCATTGGTTCTGTTTACATGATGGATTACATTTATTGATTTATGTATGTTGAACCAGTCTTGCATCACAGGGAAGAAGCTGACTTGATCATGGTGGATAAACTTTTTGATATGCTGCTGAATTCGGTTTGCCAGTATTTTATTGAGGATTTTTGCGTCAATGTTCATCAGGGATATTGTCCTGAAATTGTCTTGTTTTGTTGTGTCTCTGCCAGGTTTTTGTATCAGGATGATGCTGGCCTCATAAAATGAGTAAGAAGGAGGTCCTCTTTTGTATTGTTTGGAATAGTTTCAGAAGGAATGATACCAGCTCCTTTTTGTACCTCTGGTAGAATTCGACTGTGAATCCATTTGGTTCTGGGTTTTTTTTGTTTGGTAGGCTGTTAATTACTGCCTCAGTTTCAGAACTTGTTATTGGTCTGTTCAGAGATTTGACTAATTCCTGGTTAAGTCTTGGGAGGGTGTATCTGTCCAGGAATTTATTCATCTCTACTGGATTTTCTAATTTACTTGAGTAGTGATATTTTTAGTGTTCTCTGATGGTAGTTTGTATTTCTGTGGGATCAGTGGTGATAGTCCCTTTATCTTTTTTATTGTGTCTATTTGATTCTCCTTTCTTCTTTGTAAGTCTGACTAATGGTCTATCTATCTTGTTAATGTGTTCAAACAACCAGCTCCTCGATTCATTGATTTTTTTTTTTAAGTTTTTTTGTGTCTTTATCTCCTTCAGTTCTTTTCTGATCTTTGTTATTTATTGTCTTCTGCTAGCTTTTGAATGTGTTTGCTCTTACTTCTCTAGTTCTTATAATTGTGATATTATGGTGTTCATTTTAGATCTTGACTCTTTATCCAATTTGCCAGTCTGTTTCTTTTCATTGAGGCATTTACCCCATTTACATTTAAGGTTAATATTGTTATGTGTGAATTTGATCCTTTCATTATGATGCTAGCTGGTTATTTTGCTCATTAGTTGATACAGTTTCTTCATAGTGTCGATGGTCTTCACAATTTAGTATGTTTTTGCAGTGGTTGGTACCAGTTTTTCCTTTCCATATTTAGTGCTTCCTTTAGGAGCTTTTGTAAGGCAAGCCTGGTGGTGACAAAATCTCTTAGCTTTTGCTTGTCTGGGGAGGATGTGGAAAAGTAGGAAACACTTTTATACTGTTGGTGGGAGTGTGAATTAGTTCAACAATTGTGGAAGATAGTGTGATGATTCCTGAAGGATCTAAAACTAGAAATATCATTTGACCCAGCAATCCCATTATTGGATATATACCCAAAGGATTATAAATCATTCTGTTATAAAGATACATGCACATGCGTATTTATTACAGTACTGTTCACAATCGCAAAGACTTAGAAACAACCCAAATGCCCATTAATGATAGACTGTATAAAGAAGATGTGGATAGAAAGTTTATTCAAAGGGATAATAATAAAGAAATTCCCAAACCTAAGGAAAGACATTAATATCCAAGTACAAGAAGCTTGTAAAACACAAAGCAGATTGAACCCAAAGATTATCTCAAGGCATTTAATAGTCAAACTCTCAAAGGTCAAGAATAAAGAAAGGGTTTTAAAAGCACCAAGAGAAAAGAAACAAATAACATACAATAGAGCTCCAATACCTCTGGCAGCAGACTTTTCAGTGAAAATCCTTACAGGACAGGAAAGAGTGGCATGATGTATTTAAAGTACTGCAGGAAAAAAATTTACCTTAGAATACTATAGCCAGTGAAAATGTATTTCATACATGAAGGAGATATAAAGATTTTCCAAGACCAACAAAAACTGTGGGATTTCACCAACACCAGATCATCCTACAAGAAATGATAGAATTCTGCAATCAGAAAGGAAAGGACATTCATGAGCATTAAGAAATAATCTGAAGATACAAAACTCGCTGGTAATAATAAGTCTATAGAAAAATGCAAAATATTATAACACTATAATAGTAGTGTGTAAACTACTCTTACCTCAAATAGACAAAAATATGAAACAATCAAAAATAATAACTATGACGTATGACAACTTTTCAAGACATAGACAGTATAGTAAGATATAAATGGAAAAAAACCAAATTTTAGAAGCAGAGAGACGAAGTTACAGTGTAGAGTTTTCATTAGTTTTCCTATTGCTTTTTTGTTCATGCAATCAGTGTTAAGTTGACATCAGTTTAAAATAATGGGTTTTAAGATAGTATTTTCAGGCCTTATGGTAATCTCAAATCAAAAAACATACAGTAGATACACAAACAGTGAAAAGCAACAAATTAAAAGAGACCTTCCAGATATAAAATCAACAATGAAACGTTGGACTTTATCTGCACTATAGATCAAATTATCTAACATATATTTACAAGAAAAAAAATCACTTTTACTAAAAGGAAGACATGAAGGAAAGGAAAAAGAAATTGAAGACCACAAAACAGCATTCTTGTCCTTAGCATTTGGTTCATTCTCAATGATAAAGCAAATATTAGGCTACAAAATGTGTCTTAAAACATTCAAAAAATTGAAATAACATCAAGAATCTTCTGTGACCACAATGGAATAAAAGCAGAAATCAAAAACAAGAACAATTTTGGAAACTATACAAACACATGGATATTAAACATTATGCTCCTGAATGACCAGTGGATCAAAGAAGAAATTAAGAAGGAAATGGAAAATATTTTTGAAACAAGTAAAAATGGATCGCGACATATCTAAACTAACGGGATGCAGTGAGAGCAGTCCTAATAGGGAAGTTTATAAGCCACCACATAAAAAAAATAAATAAATAAATACTTCAATAAACAATTTAATGATGCATCTTGAAGAACTAGGAGGGCAAGAGCAAACCAAACCGAAAATTAGCAGAAGCATAGAAATAATAAAGAGCAGAAATACATGAAAATGAAATGAAGAAAACAATACAAAAGGTCAATGAAACAAGAAGTTGTGTTTTTTTTTAACACAAAATCAATGTACAAAAAGTCACAAGCATTCCTATAGAGGAATAACAGACAAAGAGCCAAATAATAAGGGAAATCCCATTCACAATTGCTACAGAGAATAAAATATTTAGAAATATATGAAGGACCTCTTCAAGGAGAACTACAAACCACTGCTCAAGGAAATAAGAGAGGGCACAAACAGAAGCAAAAACATTCCATGCTTGTGGTTAGGAAGAATCAATATTGTGAAAATGGCCATACTGTCCAAAGTAATTTATAGATTCAATGCTATCCCCATCAAGCTACCATTAACTTTCTTCACAGAATTAGAAAAAAAAAAAAAAACACCTTAAATTTCATATGGAACCAAAAAAGGACCCTCATAGCCAAGACAATCATAAGCAAAAAACAAAACAAAAAACAAAGCTGGAGGCATCACACTACCTTACTGCAAACTATACTACAAGGCTACAGTAATGAAAACAGCATTGTACTGGTACAAAAATAGATCTATAGACCAATGGAACAGAACAGAGGCTTCAGAAATAATGCTACACATCTACAACCACCTTATCTTTGACAAACCTGACAAAAACAAGTAATGGGGAAAGGATTCTCTATTTAATAAATGGTGTTGGGAAAACTGGCTAGCCATATGCAGAAAGCTAAAACTGGATCTGTTTCTTATACCATATACAAAAATTAACTTAAGGTGGATTAAATATTTAAATGTAAGACTTAACACCATAAAAACCCTAGAAGAAAACCTAGGCAGTACCATTCAGAACATAGGCATGGACAAGGACTTCATGACAAAAACACAAAAAGCAATGGCAACAAAAGCCAAGATAGGCAAATTAGATCTAATTAAACTAAAGAGCTTCTGCACAGCAAAAGAAACTATCATTAGAGTGAACCAGGAACCAACAGAATGGGAAAAATTTTTGCAATCTACCCATGTGACAAAGGGCTAATATCCAGAATCTACAAAGACCTTGAACAAATTTATAAGAAAAAAAACAACCTCATCAAAAAGTGGGCAAAGGATATGAACAGACACTTCTCAAAAGAAGATATTTGTGCTGTAGGGTCCAGCCCTACAGGGTCCTGTGAGCCCCTCTCTACTGGTGTGGAGATGAGAAACTATGGAAATTAAGACACAAGACACAGAGATCAACAGAAAAATAGTTTGGGCCCAGGGGTCCACTGCCAACCAAAGTGCAGAGTCTGGCAGTGGCCCTGAGTGCCTGGACACTCTGACTTTTATTGAGTACAAAGCAGGGGGCAGGGTAGGTAGGGTGAGGTAATGGTGGTCAGTGATAGGGTCACTTTAATCAAGTGTCTTGGAGATAGGGGCCCAGGTCTTTCAAGTAGCCGAGGTGAGGAGAAGACCTAATGCGTCAGTACTTTTCTCATACTTGTCAAGAAAGAACAAACACATTGAGATTTATGTTACTATTACTGATTCTATCTTCTAAGAAAAAGAGGAACCAGGTGCAGAAGCGGAACATAGGAATGGTAGCGATTTTTGCATATTGCTTTTGTATCCTGAGATCTTGCTGACATTGTTTATAAGCTTAAGAAGATTTTGGGCTAAGATAATGCGGTTATTTTAGATATAGGATCACTTCATCTGCAAACAGACAATTTGACTTCTCTTTGTATTTGAATACCTTTGTTTCTTTCTCTTCCTGTTTGCCTTGGCTAAAACTATATTGAATAGGAGTGGTGAGAGAGGGCATTCTTGTCTTCTGCCAGTTTCAAGGTGAATGCTTCCAGCTTTTGCCCATTCAGCATGATATTGTCTGTAGATTCATCATAAATGGCTCTTCTTAATTAGAGATATGTTCCTTCAAAACCTGGTTTATTGAGTTTTTAACATGAATGGATGTTGAATTTTATCAAAGGTTTATTCTGCATCATAATCATATCGTTTTTCTATTTAGTTCTGTTTATGTGAGGAATCACATTTATTTATTTGTTTGTGCATGTTGAACCAACCTTGCATCCCAAGGGTGAAGCCTAATTGATCATGATGGATAAGGTTGTGCCTAGTTAGGCCTAGTGTGAGAACCTGGATATTACAGCTGAAGATGTTTAATTCACTTGGCCTTCATTCTTCCCTGTGAGTGCTGCAGACTGCAGCTGCTACAAATTGGCCATCTTGGCCTCATATATCTTCTTTTAAGAAATGTTTTTTTTTTTTTCATGTTATTTGCCCACTTTAATGAGATCATTCGATTTTTTTCAATTTTTATTTTAGGTTCAGAGAGTTAATGTACAGCGTTGATACATGGGTAAATTGGATGTCATGGGAGTTTTGTGTATATATGATTTTGTCACTCAGGTAATGAGTATAGCACTGGATCCATAGTTTTCAGATCTTCACCTTCTTTCACCCTTCACTCTCAAGTAGACCCTGGTGTCTATTTTTCACTTCATCATATCTGTGTGTAGTCAATGTATAGCTTCCACTTATAAGAAATAACATGTAGTATCTGTTTTTCTGTTTTGTCTTAATTTGCTTATGATGTTGTCCTCCAATTCCATCCAAGTTGCTGGAAGGGACATGAGTTTGTTCTTTTTTAATGCCTGCATAGCATTCCATATTATATATTTACCACATTTTCTTTACTTAGTCCACCATTGATGAACACCTAGGTTGATTCCATGTATTTGCTATGATAAGCATGTATATGTATGTATTTTTATGGTAGAATGATTTCTATTCCTTTGGGTATATACTTAGTAATGAGGCTGCTGGGTCAAATGGTAGTTCTGTTTTAAGTTTTTTGAGAATTCTTCACACTGCTTTCCATGGCGGCTAAACTTATTTATATTAATACCAGCAGGATATTTGTTTCCTTTCCTCTACAACCTCACAAACATATGTTATTTTTTGACTTTATAATAATTGTCATTTTGACTTGTGTGAGGTGTTATCTTATTGTGGTTTTGATTTGCATTCCTCTAATGATTAGTGATGCTGAGTATTTTTTCATATGCTTTTTGGCCACGTGTATGTCTTCTTATGAGAAGTGTCTGTTCATGTTTTCTGCTCATTTGTTAATGTGGTTGTTTTGTTTTTGCTTGTTAATTTGTTTAAGTTCCTTATAGATTCTGGATATTAGACCCTTTTTGGATCCATAGTCTGCAAATATTTTCTTCTGTTGTGTAGTTTGTCTGTTTATTCTCTTGAAAATTTATTGTTCTTTGCAGAAGCTCTTTAATTTAATTAGGTCCGACTTGCCCATTTCTGTTTTTGTTGCTATTGATTTTGGAGTCTTCAACATGAAATATTTATTATGGCCTATGTTCAGAATTATATTCCCTAGGGTTTTTCCTAGAGTTTTTTATAATTTTATGTTTTACATTTAAGTCTTCAATCCACATCAGCTTTATTTTTGTATATGGGGAAGAGATAGGGTTCACTTAAGTATTTTGCATATGTCTAGTCAGTTATCCCATTACCATTTATAGAATAGGCAGTCACTTTTCCATTGCTTCTTACTGTTGACTTTGCCAAGGGCAGATGACTTTATGTGGCTTTATTTCTGGGATCTCTAACCTGTTCCATTGATCTATGAACCTTCTTATATATCAGTACCATGCTGTTTTGGTTACTGTAGCCTTGTAGTACCACTTAAGTCAGGTAGTGTAATGCCTCTGGTTTTGTTCTGTATGCACAGGTTTGATTTGACTATTTGGGATACTTTTTTTTCCATATGAATTATAGAATAGCTTTTTTCTAATTCTGTGAAGAATGTCATTGGTAGTTTGATAGAAATAACATTGAAATTGTAAATTGCTTTGTGAAATATGGCCATTTTAATAATGATTCTTTCTATCTATGATAATGGAATGTTTTTCCAATTGTTTGTTTCATCGCTGATTCCTTTGAGCAGTATTCTGGAGTTCTCTTTGTAGAGATCGTTCATCTTTCTGTTTAGCTGTATTCCTAGCTATTTTATTGTCTTTGTGGCTATTGTGAATAGGCTTGGGCTCTTGATTTGGTTTCAGCATGGACATTATTGGTGTATAGAAATGCTACTGACTTTTGTACATCCATTTTGTATCTTGAAATGTCGCTGAAGTTGTTTATAAGATCTGTAAGCCTTTGGGCAGAGATTATGGTATGTTATAGGTATAGAATCATTTTATCTGAGAAGAGAGATAGTTTGACTTCCTCTCTTCTCATTTGGCTGCCTTTTGTTTCTTTCTCTTGACTAACTGCTCTGACTAGCACTTTCAGTACTATGTTGAATAAGAGTCATGAGAGTTCGCATCCTTGTCTTGTTCTGGTTTTTTAGAGGAATGCTTTGAGCTTTGACCCATTCAGTATGATGTTGGCTATGAGTTTGACGTAGATTGGTGTTATTATTTTGAAGTATGTTCCTTCAGTGCTTAGTTTGTTAAGGGTTTCTAACATAAATGGATGTTGAATTTTATTGAAAGCATTTTTTATGTCTATTGAGATGATCATGTAGTTCTGTTTTAATTCTTTTTACATGATGAATAACATTTATTGATTGGCATATGTTGAGCCAAATTTTCATTCTGGGAATAAAGAAGATCCACTTGATCGTGGTGGATTAACTTTTTGTTTTGTTGTTGGATGTGGATTGCTAGTATTTTGTTGAAGATTTTTGCATGTATGTTTACCAGGGATATTGGCCTGAAATTTTCTTACCTCATTGTGTCTGTGCGAGGTTTTGGTATCCCAATGATGCTGGCCTTATAGAATGTAGTAGAGAGGAGTCTTTCCTCCTCAAATTTTTGGGATAGTTTCTGAAAGACTGAGATCAACTTTTGTTTATATGTAAACATTTATATGTAAAATTTGGCTGTAAATCCTTATGGTTCAGGGCTTTTTCTGGTTGGTAGGTTTTTTGTTTTTTTCTTAAATCACTCATTCGATTTCAGAACTCATTCCTGGTCTGTTCTCTGTTTCAAATTCTTCCTGGTTCAATCTTGGGAGG